GCCCCCTCCAGCCGCGCCCTGAGCAGCCCCCCCCCCACGCCCCCAGCTCCTGGCCCACTGCCTGCTGGTCACGGTGGCCTCGCACTTCCCCGCGGACTTCACGGCCGACGCCCACGCCGCCTGGGACAAGTTCCTGTCCGTTGTGTCCAGCGTCCTGACCGAGAAATACCGCTGAGCGCAGCCGAGGGACCCCAGAGGACAGGCTGCGACCCCTCCACTGCTCTATGGGGCCTCCCTCATCCCCCTCCTCCTGGGTGACCCGCCAATAAAGGAATGAACGTAGGCCTCGCCTCTGTGGTCACTGGGGCCCCTGACAGGGGGAGGGCAGAGAGGTGGAGGGTGGACCTCAGGGTGGCCTAGAGGGCTGCAGGGATCCTGTGCACTGACCCAGGGTCTCTCAGAGGGCAAAGGTCAGCACCCTAAGAATGAAGGGCCCTTGAGATTCGGGCGGGTGGCAGAAAGGGCACCTCAGTGCTTACTTCTGGGCCAGTACTGGAGCCCACCTGGCCCCCATGTCTCTCCCCCGGGGCCACTTGTTACCCTTTCTTCTTCCTCTGAATCTTTTACTATTTCCTCGCTTATGAACCAGGAAGAAGGGAGCAATGAGGTGTCCGTTCATTCATTCACTCATTCATGCACCACCCTTTCATTCCTAGCCCATTGCTTCTTCCATCAACAAACACTTATTGGCATCAAAGACGCCCAAGCATTTTTCTAGACCAGCAATTTTCAACCGGTGTGCGCAACAGTTTTAACCCACGCAGGACCTATTTAGTCAGGGGCACTGACCTCTTTTCCCTTAGATTGTCAAATTAAAAAATGACAACAGCCCTGGCCGGTTTGGCTCAGTGGATGGAACGTCGGCCTGCGGACTCAAGGGTCGCGGGTTCGATTCCGGCCTAGGGCATGTACCTGGGCTGCGGGCACATCCCCAGTGGGGGGTGTTCAGGAGGCAGCTGATCAATGCTTCTCTCTCATCGATGTTTCTGACTCTCTATCCCTCTCCCTTCCTCTCTGTAAGAAATCAATAAAATATATTTTTAAAAAAATGACAACTGCCGAAACCGGTTTGGCTCAGTGGATAGAGCGTCGGACTGCGGACTGAAGGGTCCCAGGTTCGATTCCGGTCGAGGGCATGTACCTGGGTTGTGGGCACATCCGCAGTGGGAGATGTGCAGGAGGCGGCTGATCGATGTATCTCTCTCATCGATGTTTCTAACTCTCTATCTCTCTCCCTTCCTCTCTGTGAAAAATCAATAAAATATATTTAAAAAAAAAAATGACAACAGCCAACGCAACAATAGCCATCCAGTGTGAACGAATCAAAATTATACCTTTTTTTGTCAGATCAGCAAAAAAAATTTTTTTTTGGTGTGCTGCAGAATTTTAGTAATTAGTTTACGTGTGCCATGAGGTAAAAAGGTTGAAAATCATAGTTCTAGGCTATGAATACTGCAGCTAAAATCAGCAAAACTCCCTGCCCCGTGGAGCTGACAATCTAAAGGGGGACACAGACATGATATATAGTCAGATCACAGTTCACTGAAATAAAAAAGGAAGAGCTGCCCGGCCGGTGTGGCTCAGAGGTTGAGGGTTGACCTATGAACCAGGGGTCACAGTTTGATACCCAGTCAGGGCACATGCCTGGGTTTGGGCTCGATTCCCAGTGTGGGGCATGCAGGAGGCAACCGATCAATTCTCTCTCATCATTGATGTTTCTATCTCTCTCTCCCTCTCCCTTCCTCTCTGAAATCAATAAAAATATATTTTAAAAAATAATCTATGGAAGGATAAACTAGAAATGATTACAAATGATTGCACCAGTGGGAATGGAGAAGTAAGATTGGAAGGGGGGAGGTCCTAGATAGTTTTAATATTTGAATCATGTAAATATTTTACATCATCAAAAATGTAATTAAAGCCGAAACCGGTTTGGTTCAATGGATAGAGCGTCGGCTTGCGGACTGAAAGGTCCCAGGTTCGATTCCGGTCAAGGGCATGTACCTGGGTTGCGGGCACATCCCCAGTAGGAGATGTGCAGGAGGCAGCTGATCGATGTCTCTCTCATCGATGTTTCTAGCTCTCTATCTCTCTCCCTTCCTCTCTGTAAAAAATCAATAAAATATATTTAAAAAAACAAAACAAACAAAAAAAACCCCAATAACACCAAACCTAGATTTAAAAAAAAAAGTAATTAAAAAGAGCAAAAAATGAGAACACCAAAATTGAAAACCAACTTAAATGAACCTCTGTAAGAATATAGTAATACAGTCATTAGAAGAATTATTACAAATGACTTCTGAACACAGTACTTTGGCTGTGACCAAAAGAACAGCAAAAAAAAAAAAAAAATCGCCGAAACCGGTTTGGCTCAGTGGATGGAGCGTCGGCCTGCGGACTGAGGGGCCCCAGGTTCGATTCCGGTCAAGGGCATGTACCTGGGTTGCGGGCACATCCCCAGTGGGGGATGTGCGGGAGGCGGCTGATCGATGTTTCTCTCTCATCGATGTTTCTGACTCTCTATCTCTCTCCCTTCCTCTCTGTAAAAAATCAATAAAATATATTTTTAAAAAAAATCCTAACATTCACTCAGTAGTTTATTGGTCATAATAACACAGATATTGTAATTTCATAAACTTCTATTTGAAATATTTTCAAAATATCAAAAAAAACTGCAAGAATAAGGCAAAGATGGAGAAATGGGGACTGCTGATTGTTACAGGGTTTTTTGAGGGGTGATGAAAATATTCTAAAATTGATTGTATTGCCCTGACTGGTTTGGCTCAGTGGATAGAGCGGCAGCCTGCTGACTGAAGGGTCCCAGGTTCGACTCCAGTCAAGGGCATGTACCTTGATTGAGGGCACATCCCCAGTAGAGAGTGTGCAGCAGGCAGCTGATCGATGTTTCTCTCTCGTTGATGTTTCTAACTCTCTATCCCTCTCCCTTCCTCTCTGTAAAAAATCAATAAAATATATTTTTTAAAAATAAAATAAAATAAAATTGATTGTATCGATGGTTGGACACACTGCGAATATATTAAACCCATTGAATTGTATGCTTTAAGTGGGTGAATTGTATGGTATGTGAATTGTTTCTCAATACATTTGTAAAATAATATAAGACAAAACATTCCCAAACCCTCTTCATTGAGATTCCTGATTTTAAAATTTGCCTTCACCGTGTCTCTCTTTCTGAGCCATTTGAGTGTAGGATGCAGACATGATTTCTCTTTAATACCCTCAAATATCTTGTGTATTTCCTAAAGCCAACAAGATCACTTGCCTGTATAGCCTGAAAACAACCACCAAAATCAGGAGATTACACCGATCCAAACCCATCACTGCACAGACCCCATGCACATGTCCTTCCCGGTCACATCCTTTACTACCCAGGATCACACTTTGCATTCAGTCCTTCCTTGAATGACTTCAATAATTTTGAAGAGTACATGCCACTTAGTCTGTAGAATGTCCCTCTGTTTGAGTTTTCCTGCGGTGTCCTCATGAAGAGATTTAGGTGAGGCATTTTGGGCGGGAACATCACAGAAGTGACTCCGTGTCCATGTCGATGCCTCCCATTGGGCACAAGCTGTTGGCTTGTCTCTTTACTGGTCATATTCACTTTGACCAGTTGAAATGGTGTCTGCCAGGTTTCTCCACTGCAGAGTTCATTAATAAGTATTTTATGCTTTTTCATTGATAAATAATACATGTTTACAGGTGAAGCTTTGAGACTGTGGACACATCCTATTCTTTTTATTGAATTTATTGGGGTGACATTGGTTAATAAAATTATGTAGGTTTCAGGAGCACAATTCTATAAAACATCATCTTATATTGTGTTTTGTGTTCACCACATGTCAATAAAGGACAAGTCCAGTGTCCTTTCATCACCATTTATTCCCCTAACACCCTCCTCCACCTCCCTTCACCCCCTTGTCCCTCTGGGAATCACCGTACTGTTGTTGTCTGTGCCTATGAGTTTGGTTTTCTGGTTTGGCTTTTTCTTAATTCCTTCACCTTTTTCACTCAGCCCTCTGACAGCTGTCAGTCTGTTCTCTATGAATCTGTTTCTATTTTGTGTGTTATTTTATTTTGTTCATTAGATTCCACATGAGTGAAATCATATGGTACATAACTTTCTCTGACTGGATTATTTCACTTAGCATAATGCTCTCTGGGTACATCTATACTGCCGCAAAGGGTAAGAGTTCCTTCTTTTTATGGCTGAGTAATTTTCCACTGTGTAAATGTACCACAGCTTTTTGTGTGTGTGTGAGCTAATCTATTATTAAAATGCCCTTATAATTTAGAAGTTCAATTTATTTAATTGCTTCAACAGACAAAGTATAGTGGCTTATTCAATACCTATTAGTTCTAAATTCTTGTCATCTACTGAAAAAAAATTATAGGAAGTGCTAACTTATTGGTTCTCAGTGGGCATTTTACCCCCATGGAATAAATGGCAATGTATAAAGCCATTTGAGTTTGTCCCAATCATGTGCTGATGGAGGATGGGAAAGGTGGGAGTGCTATAGCATCTAACAGGTATGGGGAAGGAATGTTGTTAAACATCCTACAATGCACAAGGCAGCCTCCACAACAGACAAAATGCCAACAGTGCTGAGTTTAACAAACCTTGGGCTGACTAAAATAATATTCGGGTATGGAAATTGTGCTAAGGCAGCAGACACAGTGCTAGTTGATACAAATACAAAGAATAAGAAAAGAGAATGGACCACAGCTTTTCTATCCACTCATCTACTGATGGGCGCTTGGGCCGCTTCCAAATCTTGGCTGTTGTAAATAACGCTGCAATAGGGATGCATCTATCCTTTCGAATTAGTGTTTCAGGTTTCTTCAGATACCATCTGTTCTTTATATAATTTCACCCACTGGTCTTAGCATCCATGAATGGTTCTTGCCTACATCAATTGCTACCGTGATGGTTGCCCAGTGCAATTCTCCATCATCTTTTCTGTACTTATTAGTAGGCATTCTACTGAACGGAAAAGCTTTTCCTTCTCCATTTTTAATTTATATCATATTAACTCAGTTCCCATTTTATTCAGTGGGTTATAATCTATTACCAATCATTCTTTATTTTGATCCTAAAACTGTCCCAGATTTGGACAGTGGGAGTCCCTTCAAACGGGCTACTCTGTGTCCTTTGATATATCCCCATCGTCCTTGAGTACATTCTTAGTTTCTTCTGTAAGAAGTTCTAGTCCCTCTTGTACTTTCCCTGCACCCGCATGAAATTAGCCATTTCTCCACATAGTTCCGTTTCCTCCTAGCGGAGAATGATGTCTGCAAAGCAAGAGCTGGGAGCGGGCTGTGTTCATTGCTATCGGAATGTTATTCCTGCGAGTCGTCTCAGTGGACAGAACTAGGAGATATATTTTCACACGCACATACACATAAGTAAATATACACACTTGTATCTATTCTGTATATGCTAAGTATATTAGAAACCATGACCTCATACCAGTATCTCTAATTACAGTCCAGTTTCACATGGCTCGTCCTTGTCTTCTCCTTCCGTGTTCATGCCTCCCTTCTGCGATAGTGAGAACCTGGCTCCCCTTGTTCTCAAAACACCTCCCTATTTGCTCAGTTCCCTCGCATATTACCAACATCCCAGTGGAGCCAACTTTGATTTCATCATTTTGAAACTATGCTATCTAAGAGATGCAAATATAAAACCCATGAAAAAGTATATGATTTAAAACATCTTTAATTTAAAAAACATATCATATCATTGTAAACAAATGTTGTGAAGGTCAGTGAAGACAGGGGACAGTGCGGAGGGGTCAGTGAGTTCCGAGGTTGTCTGGGGAGGGTCAGTGAGTTGGGGAAGATGGATTGCACAGACATCTGACCCCGGCTCACTGGGGCCTGCGCAGGACAGGCACCTGGAGGAGCATGAAGTTTCTTCTGAGGCCTGATGTGCCTCTGAGGCAGTCAGGTTACAACCAGCACTGATATTGGGGTCTCTAACCCTGAGGAAACCGTGGTCAGAGGAGGGTTCTCTAAAGAGCCTTCCGGGTGCCGCTGGAGAGCTTATTTCTGGCAGAAGGTGAAGCGGGAAGCCTGGTAAGGGACGGAAGGAGGCCCCTCTGGTCACAGGAGGTGAAAGGGGCTGGATGCCAGGCAGGGGAAGTGGGGGGCTGGCAGTGCAGACCCAGCTGGAAGCCAGGAGACCAGGCAGGAGCTGCTGTGGTGGGAACAGACCAGGTGGGGTAGTGGGAGGGTATGTGGGGCCTCCAGGTAAGGAGGGTGGAGCTTGGGTGGGAGACTTCAGGCTGGGGGAGAAGCGGGACCTGCCACGCTTGCAAGGCCTGTGGCAGGGTGAAACCTGGATTCTCCCAGCTCAGAAAAGAGGGGAGGGATGGTGGAGAGGTGGCAGCCCCTCTTCCTGAGCTCATGTCTCGCCCCCCATCCGCAGGCTCTTCGCCAGCTACCCCCAGACCACGACCTACTTCCCACACTTCGACCTGCACCCAGGCTCTGCGCACCTGCGCTCCCACGGCTCCAAGGTGGTGTCCGCAGTGGGCGACGCGGTCAAGAACATTGACGACATCGCCAGCGCCCTGTCCAAGCTGGGCGAGCTGCACGCCTACATTCTGCGCGTGGACCCTGTCAACTTCAAGGTGAGCGCGGGGGCGGGGTCCTGGCTGGTCAGGGCAGAGGCTGGTCGGAGTCTAGGAGGGAAAGATCTCCAAGAAAGGGGCTCCGTTCCCCCACCCTAA